TGAACCCGAGACCTCATGGGCAGGACGCAAGCAGACTACCCATTTGGCCACCGGGCTGCTGATCAGACCGTTTTTCATCTTCGTAATACCGGATAAAGCACAACCCATATTGGGTTCCAACCGAGTCATAATCCGCCGGAGGCTAGTACCAAGATGAACGAGATGTGATACCCACAACAAGCTTGCAAAACGGGTCGAAACAGTTGACCAGAGTGTTTCTTAGCTTCATTTGCTATATATATGACGTATTCCCATTTGAAATTTAGTCAAATCCTCCATTGCTCTCATGGAATGCGGTGTTGATTGACGTAGATCGGAAACGAATGATGTCAAGATGGATTGATAACTTAGGCACCACGCTCAGGTGTGAATGTTGAAGTAAATTATTGCACGAGTGGGTTCACTCTAGGCCCTCATAGCTTAATGATTAAAAATTCCACCGACCACCACGACCAGGTTCCCGCGACTAAAACCGCTTCTTTTGAACCAAATGCGATTGCTTACATAATTCTGGCATTGAACGTCACACCTGACAAGATGTCTAGCAATGATACACTGATACTTTCAATCAAGATTTACTTTGCGATATGGTCTTTGCAGCCAGTCAACGTTTAATATGAAACTTCAATGCAGTGAGTTCCAATCGGTGATCTTTCCATGATATTTTACCATTTAGTCTGTGGTGAAAACGGTTGGAAGATTAATGAAGGGATGTTTTAGCTATCCACGATGCTTTTATTGTGGTGGCGTCTATTGTAAGATGCGAAATAGCCCGAATAAGAATTATGAACTCGTAGCTTGAAAAGTGGCACTTTTGCGGTATGAGTGAAGCTTGACTGCATTTCATCTACTGTTTGACAATATGGTCATCTGGCGCCCTGTTTGTGTGTTAGTGGTCGGGGTGGGGGAAGAGACGAGAAGGCACATTGGTTTCAGCTCAAGCAGTGAACGAGGTCTTGAAACCGACAACAGCGTGCTTTTTTGTGCCTACAAACCGAGCTCACTCCCAGTCAAACGTCGAACTTTACGGACAGCGTTACGACTAATCAGTGCTAACGATGAAATTAAACCGGTTACGATTCTCAAAAACTCATTGTTCTCATTGGCTGTGTGTATTTCTTGTCCCTCTAGTAAGTGTAAAATTACGGCTGTCAGTCAGTCATTTGTGGCAAGTTTTCGTGATACTGACACTATAAGCGATTGGAGATGAGTTATTAGCGATATAAGATATCATGTGGTGATGAGCGTGATGTGACCGCGGAGAGAAGTTTAGCGTAACTGGCTTTCCCCTCTCATTCCTATCTCCATTTAGCTTATTTCTTGTATTATGAATTTCGATATTCAATTTTCCGCCAAACAAGTAGGGCCAATACTAATGAAAATCAGACTCAATAGTTCTGGAGTGACACCGGATTCTTCGATGGGGTTATCTGACACCGGTCGGATAAATACGTCTGTACGAGGATGAGAAACACCCAATCTCAAGACCAATGAGTATGACACGAACTGAGTCAGTCAGTCAGTCAGCACGGGTGGGCGTCGATAATTTAATGGTCACTCTAAATTCCTGGTCTACTGTGCGCAGGTGTGGTGCCACCAACACACCACTTTTATGACAGTCAACAATATCATCAACATTCTAAAACTGATGACCAAACAGTCATGTGTCAGGGTGACAAGTAGTGCCATTGGCGGAAATGGTCTAATTGGATCGCAAAATGAAATGGAGAAGAAGTTGGCTATAGGAAAACACGATTAAGGTGGAAAGCACAATTGCAATATAACTATGAAACTGAAACCCAAAGCTACTGTTCCGAACAGTGCACACCGAGAATTCAAATCAAGGATAATTTAACCGGTCTATTTTGTCATGATGCATGTTATTGAAATCGGTTAACTGAACGGTTCAGACAACTCGATAAGGAGATGTGAACTTCACGATTTCCTTGTGAATCTAAGCAGAGTTTTGCAATGCATTTCGGCGGGCTTTGTAATACAAAGTGTGGCTGGAACCGTGGGCATAGATCAGTCAATCGAATAACTTTTTCTACCTTTGAAAATCCAAATAGAAATTCCGTGACATACTAGTTGCATCAAATAGGGTGAGTACATGTTATCATTGGTGGTGTGTTCTCCGAGTTGTAAGTGTTGTTTGCAGGCGTTTCGTGGCCAGGTTAGACAACATCATCTCCGAAGTTGCTCAGCCGCACGACGAAACATAAGCGAACAACACTTTCAGCTGAGAGAATACACCAAAATCAGCATTCAAATCCCGAGCTGCGATCATTTCATATGATTTCCAGATTGAATATATTTTTTTTAGAATGGTTCAGTAATGTCCGCAATGTTGTTTTTCATCTCA